AGGAATGCCTGTGTCTCAGAAAACGCTTAAGAGAGAAGGTTACCTGTCTGTTTATAAAACCTAACAAAGCAGAACAAGAAATTGTGAGATGGAATGATCCTTAAGTAAAATCGAATGAGGGCTCTTTTGCTGAGCAGCTGCAGGAAAATGGCTTCTTTCAAAACTGCATCCCATGTGGTGATGTTCTCCTCTCCAGGTGCCAAGCCCCAATGTTTACACCATCGAGCTGACCCATGGAGAGTTCACATGGCAGGTGAAAAGGAAGTTCAAGCACTTCCAGGAATTACACAGGGAGCTGCTGAGGTACAAAGCCTTCGTGCACATCCCGATCCCTACCAGGAGGTGAGTGTGCAGCCCTGCGGGCATGGTGGGCTTTGGGAAGATGTGATCTTCTTTTCTTACTTAGTAGCATATTGGTTTGGCTTCACCGATCCCATTTACTTCGCTGTAAGGAGGAGAGGGCAGAAGAATTTAGACTCTACAAATATTTAGCAGCTAAAATAAAAAATACTTAATCTCCATGTATTTAGCAGCTGTAATCTAATTGGTGCAAGCATCTCTCTGCTGATGCAGAAAGCACATTGGGTCCCAGGTCATCAACTTTTGAGCTGAATTTGCCTTGAACTTGGGGAAAAGTTATGCTAATGGAAATCGTTGGTGCGCTGTGGCTTTCTGCCGGCATGGGCTGGATGTGGGAGGTACGGGTGTCCCTGGCATGGGTGGTCAGCCCTGCCTAGGCTGGCCTTGGCTGAAAGCATAAGGGGAAACAGAAAAGTGGTGTAGGTCAGCAAAAGCCACCTGATGTGGAGAAATGTGGGGAGATGATATTAGGAAAGGTGAAGTTATGAGGGGGTAAGGGCTGGGGGAGCATAATGCCCTAAAAATAGGGTTTAGGCTCCCTTTCTTTGTAAGGGCAAAAGGCGACTGTCAAAAACCAAACTCTGATATTTCTGTGTTGTATTTTTGTTTGTGAGCCAGTTGGAGCACGCTGGCCTCTTAAATGAATCCATGCTTGCTTTTTTTTTTTTTTTTGCTTTCCTGCCCACCCATCTCAGTTTTTAAGAGCTTGGATAGGAAAAATAAAAGCATTATAGAAGAAGGGTTACGTATCGAGGCACGCATGCACTCGCAGCACTTGGACTCGACGTTGGGGTTTGTTTTTCCTTCCAGTCACACGGTGAGAAGACAATCCATCAAAAGGGGAGAACCGAGGCAGGTGCCGAGTCTGCCGCACACCGCGGAGAGCACGGTGCGGGAAGAGCACTTCTCCAGCAGGAGGGTAAGCGCCTGGCTCGGTGTGCAGGGGCCGGAGGGATGCTTTGGGGGGGGCTTCTGCGGTGCAGAGATGCCAGCCAAGTTGCTTGCAAAGCCACACGCTATCAAAGCCCTTGTTTTATTACCATTAAAGTCTTTTGCTTGACAAACTTGGCTTTGACAAGTCCAGCTTTAACGCCAAATTCTCCTCTGTGCAAAGAGGAGGATGCTGCTCTCGGGGTTCATACAGGCGAAGTTTTCCTCTGCGGTTGAGGAAAACCATGATGCCGAGAGTGGCGATTCCCCTCCTCCCACCTGCTCCAATTTAAAGATAGAAGAGGCAGTTCGCAGAGTCAAGTTGCGTGATGGAGGCAGCCCCGCGGCCATCAAAATCCGAGAGATTTCAGTCCTGTCCCCCTCTGAAAGAGGAGATGACAGTCAGGCTCTTGGTGCTGAAGTGGGTAATTTTAGCCGAGGCACATGTGTTCTGTGTAACTTCATCAGATGTTAACAGATGGGCCCTTCTATGAAGAGGGTGGATGTCTTCCTACCTCTTCATTGCAGCTTTGGTGTTTGCAAAAAAAAAAAAGTGTCTGTAAAAATCCATGTTTGTTCACCCTGTGCTTATCATTCTCTTTCTGCTCTTCACTCCCTCCCTGGGCTTTCTGCTGCTGAAGCCTCAAGTCCCAAAAGGTTGTGTCTCGTGGCTGTGCACTGCAGATAACCCTCCCTCCTTGTGCATGGCTTTGATGCTGTGCAGCAAGTTTCAGGAGAGAGATGTTCGTTTAAAAGAGGAAGAAGAATGTTTTCTGCATCCGTTTTTTTTCCCCACCCTTGGTTTCCTTGTGGTAATCCCACAGCTGTCAGCGTGGGGATGTATACCCCCGCTGCCCAGCTGGGTAGCTCAGTGCTGTGATGCTAACACTGAGAAGGGCAAAAGTCCCAGTGGCGTTTGGTTTTGGTTTATTTTCTGTCCTATAGGACTCTGCCCATTTTCCTATGCCCAAGCAGTTTAATCTCTTCTTTGCCCAGTTACCATGAGGATGGGAAGAGAGTCTTTCTCCTGTAATGGTTTCTTCTCTTCCCTGCTCCTGGCTGGGCAGGAGAGGCTCTCCAGCGCCCGGTGGCCCGGCCACTGCCCTCTCCGTGGCTTTGGGACAGGGCAGCGTGGTCACCGTGCTCCTCACCCCGTGAGCCTGCTGTTTTGGTTAAATAGGCTCTCTCGGTTGAGCCTGAGGCTGTGTTTTCTCACAAAGCTAATTCGTGTGGGTCAGAAACAGCGGGGGCTGATTTTTGTATTTAAAACTGTTCTGAAACTTGGGCTCAGTAAAGAAAGTTGACCTCTAAAATGACAGTGCCAAGCAACAGGTCTGCTGGTGGAAGGTACAAACACAGATCTGTGAACAGTAAACAACCTGTGAACTGTTTATGCTGCTGAGCTATAATCTTCTGCGAGCACATAATAATGTATTTATTTATCCATTCAAGCTGAAAACGTGTCTCATTTCTTGATTGCTTCCTTATGCCAAACAGTTGGATTGTGTTGGGTTTTTTTCTTGAAAATTCCTGCATCTTGTCTAAACTTTCGATGTTTTAATTGTAGAAACAGCTGGAAGACTACTTGACAAAGATCCTAAAAATGCCGATGTACAGGAACTACCATGGAACAGTAAGTAGAAATTAATTTGCTTAAATGCCTAAAGAATATTTGCTTTACAAACGTTGAATTAATTGGAAGAAGACATACAACTTATATAAGAAACATTTTACAGCTGTTTTGCAAGCATTTTGGCTTAGCTGATTTCTCCAACACGGATGGAATGTGATTAAAACCAAAGAAAGAGAGTGCATGGCTCACTCTTGCTGGTCACTATTGTAACACAGTGGTAACCTCCTCAAGGTAGTCCAGTCCAGACAGCTGATTGTACATGTATCATGTGCTGCGTTTCTGTTTAATTCCAGGGAGTGTCTAAGATGGTAAGTTGAATTTTTAAATACTTAAACAATTGGAGTCCAAACCATACCCCTTCAGTTTGGGTTTTGTTTGTGGTCCTGGGTGCAAATTTGTCTCAGGTTCCTATTCTGTGCAATTTCACTGGGCTTCGGTGACGTTGAGTTTGTGTGAGTGATACCCATTCACCTCTGCAGGTATTTGGTCACTCCCAAAGGGAGATGGTAATTGGCTTATTTCCCCAAGTTGACAGTCTTTTTGAAATGAGGAGAAATGTCAAATCCAACTTCAGGCCTATTTTAAGCAAAAATATTTCCTTTGAAAGCCATCCTTGAATGTTTCTTCAGTAGTCCTCTCCTGTCAGCTGCAGCTGTAACATCTCCCTGGGATGGTAATTTATTTCCCCCTTTTTTGGCTGCATAATGACTGTGTTACTCCATCTTTTGTATTATCAGCAAAACCTGATGCCTGGATTGAGTAGCTGCAGAGGTTAGTGACATTTCTGAGAAAGGGGTGATAACTGGGAACACTTGGTTTTCAAACAGCGCAGAAAGGTAGACTAAACTTAGGGGATCTGTAGCAGCCAGTTCTCTTCTTTGGCTTTTGTTGTTGTTGTTTGGTAGGAATTCTGCTCTTTTGCACGATTTCAGTTGTGTAGAGACGGTGGGCAGCTCGGAGCTGGATGTAATGCCCAAAAGCAGTGTGTGCTCTTGTTGCAGAGCTTGGTGTGTTGAGCACTGCTCGTTATGTGGGACTGAGTGTTTGTCCGGCATTGGCAATCGTGCTTTGGGTTGGCCAGGGTGCTTTGGGTTGCAAGAAGTCTTCAGGTCTGGGCGGAGAGGACCTGTGTTTCTTAGAGTGCTTCTTTTGGGGACAGGATGGGAGCTGCAGTCAAGAGCTGTGTTGGTCTGCATGTGGAGAATAGTCATCTTTTGTTCTAAAGGCAAGACTGGGATAAGTTGGCATCAGTAGCATATGTGAAGCGGGGGAGAGTTATTTTACAGTGCAGATCCATCTTGTCACTCTTCGGCAGGCGTTGCTTTTTTCAAATATTTTGGAGAATTTCTGCTCGTGTAAGAACGTGGGTGATGTTATGACCAGTCTGTGGTTTGAGGCGGGCTGCTGTGGTGGGGGCCGGGCGAGGAGATGAGCGGTCCTGCCTTGCCCGGGCAGCTGTGGGGTGCTCCCCTCCTGCGCTGAATCGCCCTTCTGTCCCCGGTCCCTGGAGCCAGATGTCACTTTGCGCATAAATTCTCAGTTCATTGTTGGCTTTCACTGGATTTGGCTGCAGCGAAGTGTTCAGTGAGGACTTTGCTGCTAATGGCGGCACCGCTAATTACAGCGGGTCCTGCAGGCGATGCTGGAAGAAAGCACAGGGAGAAAAACATTTCCTTTAAAAAAAACGCCAAAACAACCCCCACCATTCTCAGACTAGAGACTCAAGTGAAGACTTCTGGCATTTTCCTTGGAACTGTATTTGTTATCCTTAGAACAAAATGAGGGCTTTGCTCTTCCTGTGGTTGAGAAGTCTTTTGCCTGGGCGTTGACAAATGCTGTAACAGTCTTAATCTTGGAGCAAGTTTTGACTCCTGCATGTTCCTCTCGTCAAATCCATACACCAAGGTGTTTTTTAGAGTCCTAAATTCTTTGTAAAGTCAGACAAGGGGTTGCAATGGCAAGCTGCGACCTGAACCTGCTCGGAGATGTTTTTACATCTGACCCGCGCAATTTAATTAATTCACTTTTTTTACTTTTTTACTTTTTTATTTTGCATTTGTGGTTAATTTATCATTTGTCAGTGAGAAGGTCACTGCTCTATACACTGCCTTGAGGACGTGCCTGCAGGTCGAGCTTGTAGCAGCTTTGCAGACCTGAAGTCCCCGGTGGGTTGAGGATCAGGTCTGCGGTGACCACACGACATTACAGAGGTTGTACATCCTGTAGCCTTTCTAGGTCACGCTCCTGCAGGCTGCGGAAATAGAACCTACTGAAGCATCGTCATTTAGAGAAGTACCAAGTGTCCCTTGCTTTGACTGGGTAGCTCTAATAAAATTTACAGCCTTCTCACATTTCCCTTAATTTCTCAGCATTCATTGTAACAGAGTATTTTGTGTGGAGTTCACAAAAAGGTTGGTAGGTGCATTGTATTTTGTGATCAGATGCCAGACTTCATAGCCTTTCATTTTGGGTTTGGGTTTTTTCTTTTTTTCCTTTTGGCTATATGACATGATTAAATCTCATGTCTTCTAGTCCTTTCCAAAACCTTTTTATAGTACTTCTGGGCTGAAGTGCTTCAAGGCAATTACTGTTAAAATGAAAGTTGTGGGAATCTCAGTGTGTTAGTTGTCCACGCTTTTTTCTGGGAAATGGAAATTGGGGGAATATAGCCCAAAACCATTAGGAAACAGGGCCCATGGGCTTGATTGTATTGCATATAGAAAAAATTTATTAATTGGCCTTTGCATCATTTTTTTGTTTGAGCTGCAATAGTTGAAAGATGCCTAAGCAAAATAAAAAAAATAAGATTTGGTTGAACAAAAGTGTGTGTGTCTGTAACATTTTGCATGAGCTTTAGTAATTGAGTGTAAAAACCTTGTCTTAAGTGAAAGCAGTCCAATATAACAACAACTCAGGTATGTGAGAGTGGCTGCTGGTTTGCCTCTGGTATGGCACTTGGATCTGCAGACCATTGCAAAGGTCCACGCCCAACCCTTCAGGATTTTTAGTTATTGCACTTGAACTTTAGTATGTTTAATGGTTCTGGTTTGTTTGGTTTGTGTTTTTTTTTTTAATTTGGGGTTAGTATAAGCCAATTTTATGTGTAAGAAATAGGTGGCATCTTGCTCAAAAATATGCTTCTGAACAGTGGTGTAGTTTCATTTTATTGCTAGCCACTGCTGCTAATCAACTCTTTATGGTTTTTTTTAACCCACTAAATTAAAAACAGGAGTCAAATTGAAAACACAGTGTGGAGCTGCCGAATTCTTTCTGAGATGCAGATGCTCTATGAAATTTTTACTTACATAAATCATGCGTGCTCGACATTGCTGGCAGGACGGGACGGTTTAAAACCGTGGCTCGTGCACCTTGCAGCTGGTTCTCCACCTTTCATAGCTTGTCTTTCTGCAGCTGATCACTGCTGTCTGGTGGTTTTTTTTTTTTTCTTTTCATTGCTACAACAATGTCATCGAAACTGCATTCTCTAGGCCTGTAGCTCATGCTTAAAACATTCTGCTGCGGATCGCTCTGAAACCAGAGTGGGATGCCGGCTCCCCAGGGAGGCAGCTGGGCAGTGCAGGAATTCAGATGTGAAGGAGATGAAAGTGCCTCGCTGCTCTGCGTTCCGCTCTCGGTTTTTCTGTGAATGACGAGCCCCTCGGATGAAAGGCACTGTAACAGTAAAAATAGCTAATGCGACAATAATCATCATATTAAATCATTCCATCAGATATTTTCCACTGCACTGAGGAATTTTCCTTGTAACTGGTGGAATTTATTTGTGGTGTGTTTTTTTTAATTTTTTTTTTTTTTTTTTTTTACAAACCAATGCTGCTAATTGGAGCTGCTTGATCAACATTTTGGATGGGCTCCTGGCACCATCATTGCTATTTCAAATACTCCTTGGCTGAAGAGCAGGTTGCTGCGCTGCCAGACAATCTTTCTTTCGTTTTTACGTAGTAGTAGTTCTGTTTCTGCACATTAATTTTTCCTCCTGGTTTTTCTTTTTGCTTCTTCAAGGACAATTATTTCTATGCACACAGTGCTCTTCAAATTGCTGCCAGCTTTTTGGTCGCAGCCAACATTTTCAAAGGGTTTTGACATTTGTGTGTGTTGGGTTTTGTGTGCCCGCTGAGAGAGAGGGGTCTGGGTTTCTGCTTCATCTGATGGGCGACGCCGGCCATTTTCTCAAAAAGCGAAAATAGAATCCAGGGCAGAGAACTGGCCTGAGACTTCTCTTGGGACTCTCATCAGAGTAGGATACGCTGGGTTTTCAGCCGCTCCGAGTGTCACTGCAGGAACAGCCGAAACGTTCGTAGGTCACCGCTGGTGCTTTTCCAGAATGTGCAGTGAGAGCGGCGATGGCAAGACTGTTAGTAAAAGCATGGAATAACTTGTTCTAGCCACTTTGTGCAAACAGGCTGAAGTCACCCAAAAATGAGGGCATTAAATTTGCCTCTGCTGAATAGAGGTTACTCTCTGTCCTTGAGCTGCTCAGAGGAGAACAACAGATCCTTTCTTCTTCCCTGTGGCCTTACTGATGTGAGAAGCTTGGGAAGGAGCAGCAGAGCAGCAGAGCGTGAGGAGGAGGAAGGATCTTCTGGCCTGCTGCCGATTCTTTGGGGCAAAAATGATGGTGTTGGGAAGGGAGCCTGAGCCAGCCTCACCATAACTGCAAGATAGACTTTTGCCCCAAATTTACTTGATAAACTTTGTTATACTTAGTGTTTAAAAATACCTCTGAGACTTACGGGTCCACCCATGTAATTCCTGTGCAAAACTGGATTTTGCCAATGAGGGCCCTGAGGTTGGTTTGCCAAAGAGCAGGTGACAGTGGCCACCTTGGAGGAGAGCCCTTCCTTGGGTGCTGGCACCTGAGCTGCTGTGGGGCATGGGTGGGCATGGCCCGAAGCTGGCCCCGAGGCTGTCTCATGTCCGAGCTGTGTTGGGGAGCATGGGTTGAGTCCTGGGCTTCGGTCCCAGCAGGCTTCATGGCCAAAACACGTGGTTAGAGGGTTCCCTCCGGCTTGCTGCCTGACCAAAGGGGAGAGCACCTCCTGCCCTCACCCTGCCATGAGCACCTTTCTGCACTTGGACAATTAATTGTATGCGATAATAAATTGAAAGTGCCTGGGTGCAGACAAGCCTGCGCCATGCAAGGCAGCTCCTTCGCAGGGCTGCTCCTGCCCAAGCCCTGTCCTGCACGGGATGCCCGGGGCAGGCATTTCTCCTAGCTAATGGGGCCCAGGGCTAATAACCAGCAGACTGTCAGGAATGTCCTGCTGTGCCAAGAAAAGCCTGCTCGGTTGAAATCGCCTGGTGTCTTATTTTTAGAGGTGAACGTAATCATGCTGTGCTTTCTCACCGGCTTTGCTTGTCATTACGTTCCTCTGCAATCTCTGCTGAAGCCGGAGGAGCCGCAGGATGCTTGAATTTGAGATTTGGTGGTAAACTTGATAGTATGGCACATGGGTTTCCCAGGCTATGCCTGCTGTGGAGCTCTGTGCAGATCGGCAGAAGTCATGGAGAGCGTGCTTGAACTTGCTCTCCTCCTGCCCCACTGCGCCTTTCCTGTGGGTTTTCAGCTCCTGGGGCCAGCTGGGGCAGTGGAACGTGTACAGTGCTGAGCGGGAGCGACCTGCTGCAATGGTCCTGGAGGATGCTCGTGGGTTGAGGAGCTGAATCCCCATGTGGTGTGTGTCCGTGGGGTAGGGGACTCAAAGGGAATAGGTTGCTCCCAGCCCTGGGTATGTGTGCTCGTTCCCTTTCCAGCCTTTCTGTGAGGTGCACTGGAGGAAGGAGAGCATTCAGGCAGCCAGCCAAGTTCACGCAGACCCCCAAACAGTGTCAAACTTGAGTCCTTGTTTCAGCCAGTGATCCAGGAGGGAAGATACCGGTGGGTCCCTACGATACATTTGATCTTGATTGTCCTCATTACCTGAAATGTGTTCTCCAAAGCACATTTAAAATAAACAAGCAAACAAACAAAAAACCCAACCAAACTACTTTTCTTGGTCTTCTTGAAGATGCTTAAGCGACGGTGGGTAAGTTCTGCTCAGGATCTTCTGTAGGTTCTGTCTTGATGCCAAGTCACTTCCATTAAACAAAGTATTTTGTGGATTTCAGAATGTGAAAGATGGGGGAATATTTTTCTCTTTCCCCAGATGGAGTTCATTGGAGTAAGCCAGCTGTCGTTCATCCATGACCTGGGACCAAAGGGCATGTGAGTTGTGAGCTCTGTCTTTGTGAGTTATGGTTCACCAAGAGCAGGGCCTTATAAATAAATATTGTTCAAATTCATAGTTTTCCTTTCTCACAAATAACTGACTGGGCAATATTTTGCCATCCGAATAGGAAAAACTATTAATGTTGAGATAGAAACGCTACAAATTTAGGGAACAGTTTTGAGAGCGGGTTGCTTTGTGAGGCGCGGGCTGCAGCTCACGGCTGGCTCGTGGGGTTTCTCCCCTTCCCTCCCTGCAGTGCGTTGACCTGCTTGTTCTCATGCTTGTCCTATAAAACAGGGCCCTACGTTTCTTAAATCTGCATGATTTCCTTTTGCAGGGTTATTTTTGCCCTTTTTCCAGCTTTCAGGGCAGTGGCACAGAGGTTGCTCGGGCATGGCTGGAGGCACCAGGAGCCATCCCTGGGACCAGGGGCTGGGGGTTCAGGAGGCATCCTCCACCTGAGAGCCACCCTGCATCTCCAGGAGAGCCGTGCTGCCCGTCCTGACCGTGTTTCTGTCCTTGCAGAGAAGGGATGATCATGAAGCGCTCCGGGGGCCACCGCATACCTGGCCTGAACTGCTGCGGCCAAGGAAGGATGTGCTACCGATGGTCCAAAAGGTACTGCTGGGGTGGGCGAAGGTGGCGATGCTGTGTGCTCCTCGGGCACACATACAAAAATCCTCATTTGTTTTTTTCCTTCCAAAAGGTCTGTGAGGGAGATTCTTGCTCTTTAACAAAAGTCACAGATTTTGAGGCCAAAAGGGTGCGCAAGTTATTCCCCTCTCACCCTCCTGGGTGGAGGGTGGTGATTTTTTTCTTTTGCATTGGAGTTCATAGCAGAAGGGACATGTTGCTCCAGAGGAAAACTGGGATTTCCTACAGCCCCAGGCTGGCAGAAATGGCAATAATCCCCTGGTCTGTGCCCAGCTTTCCCTGCTGCAGGAGTGCCCGGGGGCTCCATGCCTTTGGGAGGGGATGCAGCTGGTGACACTGCCAGATTTCAGCCCGGTTTTCTGAACTTCCTGAGTTAATTGATTAATTGAAACACTATCTGGGCTGCTTTGGAGCTGGATTAAATCAGATGTGACCTGCAGCAGTAAGGAGCAATGTTTGGTGCAATTAACCTTGGAATTAAATACGTTGCCTCTTCCTTATTACTGCACGTGCTTCAATGCCAGTGTTTTCGTAGGAGTTTTCACAAGCCACCCTGTTCCCATGTCCCTTCCCGCTGCAGACAGATGTAACTTACTGTCCGCAGTCCTTTACCTTCTGTGTTAGATCTCGGTGTTTCCAGGGGCTGCAGCGCAGGGAGGCGTGTGCTATGGAGGAGTCTGTGTGTTACCAGCTAGCATCCAAAAAATGCAAGGGGTATTTCCTGGAGCTTGCCCTTCCAGGCAGATGTTTCCTTTTGAAAATGCAAATAGCACATATCTGCCTTCTAGAAACAATTTTCTTGGTCTGTGAGAGCTTCCCCAAGCGTTATCCACCTTTGGATTTCAGCATCACCAATGAGCTGTTGATAGTTTATCTTAAAAAAATTCTGTTTTCCAACAAAATCTTTCTGCATTCATGTGAAGGAAAGGTCCTATTTCTTCATAGTCTTTCCAACATTTCTTAATGTAATTTTACAGAAGAACTCTATAATGTGTGCACAAGGGACAAAGATGTGACCTTCTTTCAGGTCAAATCATTAAATTGTCTCCAATTCTTTTTTCTCTTTTATGGAAAAAAAAAATGCCTTTTCCTCTCGATACCCCTCGGTTAACTCTTCCCTGTGTTATGCAGAGCTCAAGCTTTAGTGGGGACAGTAGCACATACAGCTCCAATGGTTCTCACTTTTCCTTTAGAGCCTAAAAAGGGGATGGGAGAAGTGTTTGGGTGGGATTATGTGCAGAGTAACACCAGAGGGCACCGAATCCCTGCCACGGCCTGCCGGGACTGACAGCGTGTGCATCAACAAATAAGCAAATAACAGTAATGTTTCCCAGAGAGGGTTATTTAAGTGAAGGATTTTAGGACATGTCAAGCTGGGGGCAGAGCTCCCCCTGAGCGTGGGGCAGACCGTGGCCATCCTTTTCCCACAACAGCTTTGCCATAGGCATTGGGGGTTTTATACCCCAAATTCATTTCACTTCTTGTAGTAGGCTGGGTGTGTTGTGGTCACAGGGGTTGTGGAAAGGGACACGGAGAAGAACAGTGGGGTGATGCTGTAAACATGTGTGAGCAAGACTTCTCGTGCGTGGGGAATGCTTGAAAATGTCCTTTGTGGGTATGTCTGGGAGTGAAATTACGGGCCAAATGATGGGGGGAGGTATTTTGGCACCAAGTGAGAGGTGATGCTGGGATAGCTCTTTCAGGGCCCTGAAAGAAAAGAAAAATTATGGGATCTGGAAGTAGATGAGGAGCTGGGGCTGTTACTAAAGATACAAGAATGAACAGATTTCTGTGGTATTTTCTGTTGCTTTGTGTGTTTCTGAGTGTGCAGAAGAATGAGGCGAAGGTCTGGTGGTGGAGACCTGTGTGGGACAGAGGGGGCTGGTTACCCCAGCTACGCTGCAGGGGGAGAAAAAATTAGAAATGTCATTCACAGTAAAAAATGTGGGTTTTTTTCCCAGAGTTGCCTTCAGGCTACAGTATTTATGTAAAACCTGCCGGTCATCTCTCATCATGTGTTTCTAACAGGGTGCCTGTTGCTTGGCAATAAAAGCTTTCCAAAATGCCTCGTTCATATATTTTCATAGGAGTGAAAGTGATCCTAGCATCATAATTAATGTTAGAAATGTCAAGTAGTTCCTGTATTGCCTCTGTATAAGCAGGATACAAATCTAGGTACAAGCAGAATAAAAATCTGGGGTGGAGGGATCCTTCTTGCACCTTGCCCGGTGCGGGGGAACCTGGCTGGGTGGTTTGTAGGCAAGGAGGTTCGCACTGATTTCTTTAGACACAAGAACCTATATTTTCAAAGACTTCTGTAAAAAGGAGTCATGCAAATAACTCTACAAGTCTTATATTGAATTCAAACTCATTACCCAAGTTCATAAAACAGGCACTTCTCTGCTCAAGAAAAGCATACCCTGGACTAGCCCCTGAAAAGAAATTTTACCTTTTAGTTGAACGCTTTCCTTTCCCTGATAAATGATTTGCACTTGTTTTGAAGGAAACACCTTTTCGCTTTATTAGTCTTTTATGGCACACGTCTTGAAGACCGGCATGGGTGAAATACAATTTCTTGGTTGCTGTGCCCGTGCAGGTGGCTGGTGGTGAAGGACTCTTTCCTGCTGTACATGAAGCCAGACTCGGGTGCCATTGCCTTTGTCCTGCTGGTAGATAAGGAATTCAACATTAAGATAGGCCAGAAAGAAACGGAAACTAAATACGGGTTGCAGATCGACAATCTCTCTAGGTAAGAAATACAGTCTTTATTTAGACCCCCCCTTTTTTTTTTCTTTGCTTTTGCTTTTTTTAAGGAAGAATCAATGCTCCTCTCCAGGAGGGGTTAACTAGGTGTGTCGGGCTGACGTGGTGCAGCTCAGCATCCCGCAGGGCTCAGCACCTGGGCAGCTGCTGGTGTGTTTATACCTGCTGGGGATTTGGCCTGTGTAATGCTGATCATTTCCGATATCTTAATGAGGCATTTGGAGCCTCAGCCACCACTCATCCATCCTTATGGTTATTGTTCAGGCCTGAGGGGACGGTGCACGCTGAGTTGCACAGTCTGGTGTTGCAGCAATTGCTTACAGTAATTTTCTAGGCTCTCTGTTCCTCTATGCTGCAAGCAGGGACACGTTCCTCTACATCCCAACTGGAGTATTACCCAAAAGACATGCTAGTTGGGATAAAGAGGTATTTCGTATTTTTATGATAGCATGCAGTATAAATTAATCTTTTAAAAACAGAGCATTAGCTAGGTCCAACTCTCCTCCAAGTTAAACTGATGCTATTAATTTAAGTCTGGGGTATTTTTTCTTTTTTTATGCTTGGCAGTGCAATACGGCACTCGAAGTAGCTCAGTGCTGATGCATTCATTTGCAAACAAAATAGCAAAGTCCTTACTTTTTGCTTAAATAAAATGTGACCGATACAGGTGCATTTATCGACGTAGGTAGACAGCGAGGAGCAGCCCAATTAAACATACGTGGCTTCAGCATCCTGCCCCATGCGTCATCTGTTTTACAGGTCACTGATTTTGAGGTGTAACAGCTACAGACATGCCCAGTGGTGGAGGCAGGGCATAGACGAGTTCATTCGGAAGCACGGCAAGGACTTCCTCACGCAGCATCGCTTCGGCTCTTACGCAGCCGTGCAGGAGAACACGCTGGCCAAGTGGTAAGGACCAGGGCAAGCTGCGACTGGATCACCGTGTTGGGTGCTGTTACCTGCAGCTGCGATGGCACACGCCTGCCTGCGTTAGCCCGGGTCTGGTGGATAGAGCTGTTTGCGTTTGGTAGCTGTAGGGACTGATGATCATTAGAGAAGTTGCAAAAAATGAGGTTTTCTTCACTGGGAACAGAATAGCAGTACTGGTGACAGGAGTGCTTTGATCCTGCTATGGCTTTGCATCACAGCTAATAGCATTTTGAAACATCAGGTTTCATTTGAATTTGAACTCGTTGGGTATGTATTATCATAATGATAAAAACAGTATTTTGATGCACATACAATTGGCAGGATGCTTATGAGTTAAAACCAGAACTGCTCTTTCATTAAGATATTCCTGGCTTCAATTTTATCCCAGTTTCTGATTCTGGAGATGCTGTTCCCTAAGGGTTTAGGTCTTTGGCCCACAGTAATGCAGGTGCTATTGAAAATGTCTGCCTCTGGCTACTGCCTTCTCCATAGCTCCCTCCCAAAGTAGCTGTGCTGACCAAAGCAGTAGCTGACCAAACCAATGGTCTGGTCACGTCCTTCATGCTCTGAAATGCTCTGCTGACCACGTTTGCAAGGCTGATTCTCATTCTGTAGCGCAGCATTACCCTTCCAGGCACCATGGATGTGTTCAGGTGCAAATGTCCCTCATCTGGTTGAAGAGCAGCATCGGATTCAGGCCTTGCAGATTGGCTTTGCAATGAAAGAGAATCAGCAAATGCAAATTTGGGTATAGTCTAAGGGTGACTGGGCTTTATGCACACAGCAGTCCCACAAGAAATCCTCCTGTCTGTAGTGTAACCCGATTGCACTAAGCCATTCCCAGAAGCACCTCAAAAATTTGATTTTAGCTGGAAGCAAACCCTCACAGTGCTCTCGCTGCAGCTTCTGCCTTGCAGCAACCACTGCCCAAGTAGTTTCCGTAAATCGAAGCAACCACCACTCCGCCGTCCTTTCCTGAGAGCAAAAATTAGCCCGCATGTCAAGCAAAACCCAAGAATACTGTGTGCATTTGGCAGAAGTACCAAGTGGCACTTAATAATCTCTTATTGTGCTGTTTCATTAGGCTACTAATAGCAGCATGAAATTCTCCCTGCATGTTGTCCTAATTCTTGAAATTAGGTTTGTGTTTGCTTTTGAGAAGAAAATGTACATGGCGTTAACACAGAACCCCGCTGGTCTTCAGCTACGGACTTTGTTTAATGAACAGGGAGGAAACCTAAATCTATGTGCTGTGTTTACTTTTACAGGTATGTAAATGCTAAGTGGTACTTTGAAGATGTTGCAAATGCCATGGAAGCTGCCAAGGAAGAAATTTTCATCACAGATTGGTGGTTCGTACTTAAATATTTGGATGTTGACCAGCCGTCTCTCTTGGGACGTTCGTGACAATGTGGCACTGTTCAGAGGCCCTACAGTATGGCAGCTAGCCGTGCAGCCAGATGGTTTGGCAGCACACCCAAACATCTCCTTGTGTTGTATTCAAAGGCCTTTTCAGGAGGGTTGGCAGCAAAAGCGCATGCTTGAAATCAACAGCTTGGTTGTCTCCTTCCAAGGAAAGGCCTGAAACTGCATGAAGGCACCACCTGAATTGCAAATGTTATGGCTCGAGGTGTCATCAGGAGTGTAAATCACTGCAAACCCAAGGGACAAGAATGTTTTTTAGTGTGTATGGGAACAGGGATACTCAGACACCTCTGATGGTGCTCTTCCCATGTGATCCTGCATGGGACCCTCCTTTCAGCTTCTCCGCACTGTTTTGGGAAGCCTTGTGCTGGTGATGAGAGCATCTTGGGCGAGGTGTAATTTTGTTCTGCTCTTAAATGGGCCAGACAATGGAAGGGGAGTTTTGTTGTCCCTTCCCTGAGCTGTGTGGCTGCCGAAGGACCTGGCTCTGCCCACTTCTTAACTAGTAATTCAATATGTTTATGCAGTGCTCTGGTTCCTGTTTGAGACAGAAAAAGGGTGCTCTCACAGACTTGGGGCAGAGTTTCTTGGCTGGATGCCGGTGGTGGCTGGCTGTGTCTTGCCTTTGTGGAGGTTAATCTGGCTGAGCCAGCCTGGACCCTGGGGACAGGATGGTAGGGCAGGCTCCCAAGCCACAGCTCAGATGTCCTCTTGAACCTTGGGCACATCTCTGTGCTCCTCTTTCTCCATCTGTAAAACGAACCTCTTGCTACTAATCCACTGTATGTAGGAACCGGGAGGATTAATTCTTAGGTGGCAATTATGAGAAAACTGAATACGATGTTAGCACTTACTGGGGTAAACCTGCTTCCTAACATGACCACAGATAAACCCAATGCTCCTGCATCCCTACATGCAACATCTGGTAGCAATGCAAGAGCATTGCATTTCAGGGCCATTGTCTCTTACTTAATGTTTTAGTCAGACAATTGTTAATGTATCTTGAATTGCAAAACTTACCTTAAACTCCAAGTTTCAGATAAAAATGCTGTTGTCAGAAGCATGCTTTTAGGATGTCTTTAATCAAGCACAAGTTCTCATGTTCAGTACAAAAGTAAAGGAATGAAATTCTGTCACCTTCCTTTGCAGGAGTTAGATGAGATTGCTTAATTATTTATTCCTTGTAATCCTTAAAGCTATGAATCAATAAAATGTCCTGTTGAGAGATCATATTGCTTTGTCTTTAGGCAGCAAGGAAAATTCAGCAAAAATCTATGCTACTCAGAGAGCCTAAGTACCAGGAAAACTGAAATTCCACTCTTATTTTTTTATGTCTACACATTTCTTTCAAATCTACCTTGGGGTTTTCTTTTGTTGCATCTTTCTTTCATAGATAGAGTCCAAGTTTCCCCATGTATACATCGCTGTTAAACTTGGATTTAAACTCATGGGTTGTTGAATGCCAAGATGCGTGTGCTGGATGCATCCCCTGCCCTCTGTAATATTCCATTATTAAAAAACAAAGAGCATGACGTTGGAGAATGCATCACCCTGGGACATGAGCCTTCACATCCACCTTATATAAACTTTTTTCTTTCTTTGCTTACCAAGTTGGTTATTTAGGCCAATGCTTTGTTTGCAGACTACACATGCTGTGTTTTTTCTGCCCCTTTATTTTCTTAGGCTGAGCCCAGAAATCTTCATGAAACGACCCGTTGTGGAAGGAAATCGCTGGCGGCTGGACTGCATCCTCAAGCGGAAAGCAGTAAGTGAGCTCCAGCTGCAACCTTCACCCTGCAGAAAGCCCCTTGTGCCCATCCAGTTACAGGGTGATACTGGGACCAGAGTGTTTGCACTGTTTATTTTGGTAGGGATGAGAGTTAAAGCTGGCCAAGACTCACCTCAGGTGGCCTCAGAAAACTACATCTTTTGATTTGCTCCCCCTGTTTGGGTTTGGAAGAGCTCGTAGGCAGAAGGGTAGACCCTCTGACTGCCCCTTCGAGTCCTCAGGTTTGGGTCACTTCAGCCTTGCATTACGACTGCCCCAGCTCCTGGTGGGGTCAAAGAGCAGTTGCTGTCTGGTGCTCTCCTTGTGGTAGATGTAATTTAGAGGTATGGGAAAGACTGAGCACTTTGTGGTGGCTCTTGGTAGTTGGTCTGTATGTTACTGTGTTGTGCAGATCCTGTCTGTCATTACCACGTATTGTGTCCCTGGGCTGCAGCTTTCAGAGCTGAAGCTGTGAAAGGTACCATCAGTCTGCCAAGAAAATCGGGATGTCATTAGCAAAAAGTCACTTGGTATCATCCAGAGGTTCATGGTAACTCACTATAGCCTTCTCATCTGGTTTTCCATGCTTGATACATTGCATAGGTCCTCGCTACAACTAAACGCCGAAGAACTGATGTTCTTGCTGTTCGCCTATCATTCCTTGCTATAGTAAAGAAGTGCCTGTTGACATTAAACGTCATCCTAGCGTCCTCCAGCCCCGCTACCCCTGGTACAGCCCCTCTTGCTTTCATCCTACCCAGACCAAGCTGCCCAAAGTTGCTCTTGCCATAGCTCTTTCACAGCTGCTACCATTGGTAATAACAAATTTTAGTGGAGCATAAGAAAGGCCAAAGCCTGAAAGGTTTTTGTGGTTTATTATTATTATTTTTATTTCCAAGGTTAACTTACATGATTAGAAAAAGCTTTATTTTTTTGGAGCTGCCTCTTATTACCTGTATGTCTCCTGGTTTTCTTTGTTCCTACCCACCCCTTTCTATATTCTTATGGCCATTCTCTTGTGGCCACTAAGAGGAGGAAGATCAGCTGTGCCCTCCCTGCCTGTCCCTTCTCAGGTGGAGACTCTAGCCATGAGGGTCCTGGTGCAACGCTGTGGAAAAGGAATTTGGGGAAAGGGTTTCAGTAAAGTGTGAAAAAAGTGTGCAAACACAAAGCAGCATCATGTTCCACAGAGCTGGGCTGTTGGTGTTCAGCTTGTTCACAAGGAGGTGATAAACATGACTCAGAGACTTGGGACTCCTATTTGCATTGCCATGTTATCTGAGTTAATAAATGGTCATGTTCGGTAAACAAATGCTTGTATAAACTTGATAAGGCTTTTTTTCCCCTTCTGTTTTAATTTCTTCTTTTCTGCTGTTTTCTTCTGAAGAGAAAAGCTCAGACCTGCTGTTGACTTGGTGCCTTTCCTGGCACTCCCAGCCAGGATTCCTGTGCAAAGCTCTGTGCTGTTGTGCACTCTCCTTTCTTGTGCAGCACTTGGAGATACGAGCAAGCAACCACAACTACTAGTTCTGTTTTTCTTTAAGCGTTTTCAGCTCAGAAAACAGTTTATTTTGTTGCTGGTTGTACTCTGCTTTCCAATAACATATCTGGATCCAGACTCTAGAGAACAGGTTTCATGGAGCCAAGCAAGCCAGACAGGGAAGTTGAGTGCGAGGTATTTATGGATGTGGACTGTACTTCAGTTGTTCACCCAACCCGAGATAACACCGGTGCTAGAAATGGTAGTTTGCCCCACGTGAGCAGTGAGTCGGGAAGGGAAGCATGGCCAGGGAAGTCTCTTGAACTCTTGATGTGGTAGAAGGGCAGGAGTCCAGGTGGACATGCTGAAATAGTCTTTGACTCCCTCCTCTTCCAAACCATTTCTTGTCACAGTCCTCACCCCTCCACATGCCTAGAAAAAAAAAATAGTTTTTTGTGTCTGACTGTTTTGATTTGGAAGTAGTCTTATTTTCTGGCAAAGGAAATGTGGCCACGGGGCATGCTCACTGGAAGAATTTGGCTTTGTTTGTCATGTTGACGTGTATTTTCCTATGGCTCTAAATACCTTGTAAGAGTGAGGAGTGTTTTAAGGTTAGTTCCTGGAAATACTTGCCTGGTCTTTCACTTGTGGTATTTCTTCAATTTGGCAGGGCGAGTTTTATTTGCTGGCGTTGGGTCGGTTGCATCCCCTTTAGGAGAGGGATGCCCGTATGATCATGCTGGTATCATTGCCCTGCAGATGCCTTAACTGTAGGGCATACCTCAGGGCAGCACGAAACGGCGGAAAACTGAACTTCAGTGGATGTGTGCAACACTATTGTATGCGGAGTGAGCCACATTTGCAAAATTTTACCTCAGAGGATGTTTAAAAGGGGCTGCTGTAAGAATGACCTGTTGATGGGCTTTGGTGTAGCTCAGCTCTTTGCACATGAATCCAGGTACTGAGCTCTTCTCTGGAAGCTGAAGAGCTTTCCTGAGCAGTGCGGGTCCTTGCGCGCTGTGGGGT